AATCCAGCCTGTCCTAATCCATCCTTTCACCCATTCACTAAATTGTTTGGTGATTTCCTGGCTTTATGTAGCTTTCCCCCAATTTAAAAGGTTGAAATGCCTCTCCTAAGACTTGGTTATTGGTAGCAAGAGCTTTAAGCTAAAATATGCTGGTACTTTTGATTTCTTTTGCCTTTGGCCTGGCTGCCACTAGAATGCAGCCAAGAGTGTCCCTGAAATGGAATTTGGCCCTCATAGGCAAAACACAATAAGGAGTGAAGGCTGTCAAGAATGGCAGGTCTAGTTGAAGCAGAAGCATTGGTTGTTCCAAGAGCCTGGCCTTAACCTCTCTGTCATAACCTTGTGAGTGGGAGTAGTCTCTTGGCAGGGTGGCCATGTGTTCTCTTTTATAGAGGAGAGACCCCTTTGTGAAGGGCAGTTCAATCTAAGTCTGGTTTAAAGATGAAGAACCGTTAGAAGGAAGAACCTTGAACTTGCCCATCAGCAGCATTGCACAGCAGACTGAACAAGGCACACAAACCACCTGGCTGCAGTGTTTTTTTATTATGGTTTAGGAGCTGGGTATCTAATGGAGCATCTCTTCCCATATATACCTTCTCAGACCCTAAGGTCATCTGCGGAGGTCCTTCTCTGAGAGCCTACTGTGAAGGATATACAGAGGCTGACTACGTGGAGAAGGGCCTTTTCAGCCATGGTACTCTGGTTATGGAATCAGTCCCCCAGGGAGGTTTGCCTAGTGCTGACTCTGTATATATTTCAGTGCCAGGACAAAATCTTTTTACTTACCTGTAATTTTAATTGCTAAACAATGTTTTGGATTTTATTTTGGCCTTATCTATATGGTCATTGGCATTCTGTGATTGGTTTTATTCTGCTATTATATATTGTTATTATTACTGTCATTGTTGGAAGTTATTTACCATGTTGATAATGCTTTTCTATTTTTTTTAGTTTGTTTTTAGATTGTTTTAATTCTGTTCTGAGAGCTGGTTGCTAATTGAATGGTTTATAAAAGCTTCAACTAACCAACTAAATAAATGGTGAGATATACTGCATTTTATTTAAATCATGACAGTAATTCCTATTTTTAAATCACTCTCTATATAAATCTGTACATGCACATTTTAAGTAAATTGATGTCCCTTGACACCATTTGCATTTCCACTTTATTTTGAGGAGTCCTTCTCCTATTTTGGGAGTCCTTCAGAGCAGTTCTTTTTGTCGCATAATCCCTATAAGCATTGCTCCTGTCAGCTGTTTCCTCTCTCTCAGTAATGAAACAGTAACCTGGTCTGTTGCATTTCTTATATCCTGCTTGCCTCATTTCTGTCTCACTGCATGTCTTGATTCCTACCCCTGCCCTTTTCTGGCCTGCTTTACTCTTTGAAAATCTCTCTGGGTTATGACCTTGGCCTGGTGATAAGGTCTGAAACCGGGTTTTGGATTGCAGTGATCAGCTTTGACAACTGGACTTTGACAAGAGCATTTCTTGCCCAGCATATTTGCCCAGTCTGACATAGATTTGAGCTTTGGTGACAAAAAGAAATCTGATGGACTCTGTCACTACATGTTCTGTTTATACAGAGTAGAAAGTCACATATTAGAAGGCAGCAGTGTATGCGTTAGCTATTATGTGCTGGATCTAAGTAAGGCTTATCAATCTCGGTTTTATCTCTCTTTCTCCCCCTCTCTATGTCTCTCTATAAAATAAAAGTCACTTGCATGACAGAAAGACAAATGGGAACTTGTTAACAATAAAACTTTGTGGCTTTATGAGTGTATGCAATTGTTTATTTAGACCAATAAAATGTTTTTAAGATTATTTCTCATGTTCAGATTTTTAAGACTTGGAGATAATATCTGAAGATACATCATTAAAAGATTAGGCTACTACTAAATTTTTAAAATCTTCTTTACCGGGATAACAATGCGTATTACTTTCTCTCACTCCCCCACCCTTTTTTTTCCTAATTTTCTAGACTAGTGTTATGATTTTCTGGTTGTTACCAGGCAGGGAGATTATTAGAAAGAAGTGTAGCCTGCGCTGCAAGGGAGTTTCCAGATGTCACATATTCTTATAGTGTTTCATTGTGCAGTATGTAAATGCTTTAATTACATTTTTAATTTGCTATTGGAACTATATACTTAAATCAATAATGATGCACTAAAATCAAACAATGCCATATGGATAATTATTAGCCACAGCTTTCAAATTATGAAATAAATTAAAATATATTTTATTGACTAAACTTTTACTGGTGACTCATATTCCCCAATGGAACAAATTTACTTGCCATGTCAAAAAAGAGCAGTTTGCAAAGTTCCATGGTCCAAAGAAAGGAGGTGCTCACAGTATCAGTTGTATTGCTATTTTGCACATTATTTTTAATCATGTATAAGCCCCACTGAGTTCAATGAGAACTACTCCTAGATAAGTGTGTGTAGGATTGCAGCTTTCCTGGATTCTGTTGTTTGTTCATAGTGTGCTGTGATACCAGCATACCAACAACCCTCTCTAGTTATATGCAGCAAAGTTTATAGCACATATTCCAAGCATGTTGGCTGTACTTCCACTGCTTGTGCAACTGACAGTTAATTGGAACTGATTTCAAGGAGGCTACTCTAAATATGACTACCTCAGGCTTTTATCCCAACAACTCTTGTTTGAATGTCCAGACTATTCCTATGGGCGAGAGGGTGAATACTGCTGGGAGAGACCAGATGTCTTTTTTGAATTATGAGTTCAGAAATTTTTTCCTTCCCCACTGACATCCCCATCCCCGTCCCTCAAATGAATATTAAGAAAAAAAAATCCAACCAGTTGATATTCTATCCAAATATGGTTTGTTGATAGCTTGTGGGTTGTTCATGATTTGTTAATGCATTAGAATTCGCACAATGTAACAACCAATGATTCAACAACAACTCAGTTCAGTAGCAACCTGCAGTCAACCTGTACTCTGGCTTGTTAGGCAATGGCAGTGGTTCCCAAACTTTTCTATGCCCTGGATTCCTAGAAAATATTTGATTTATGTTCATACCCCCTATAAAAGTAATATCACATTTGAAGATAAAGTCAAATTTCTAATATTTGGACCACAGTGCATAAAATTCAAATGTAAATTGAGCAATTAGAAAAAAAACCTGTAAACAGTAAATCAATCCCAGTTCTGAACATAAAATTCAATGACTTTGTTCCTGCTTCTCATTCATGATTTTGCCAAAACATGGAACTTTCTTGTTGATTGAGACCTGCAAGTTTGCCTGTGGAGTCAGGCAGTTCCTAGATTTTATCTTGATTGACAAAAGAGAACTAAATCCAAATGAAAATCTTAGCACAGACTTCCTCTTTGTTCTCATTGGGAACTTCTGTGCTATGTGAACCAGGCAATTAAGAAATAGAACTTTCTAGTCACAATATCAGTTTCTAGAGACTGGCAAGCACTTATTTTCTAACTAAATTATATTTAATTTTAATTTTATTAAAATAGGGATGAATGCTTTGTTTAATCAGTAAATTAAAAGTCAATATAGATATATATATATTCTCCACTGATTCAAATCATATTCTGTTGATTAACCAAAACAATTACCTTGCTGTAATCCTCAGTTTTATGTTTATATACAGTAAAGTTCTTCACAGATGGTTTTACTTTACATCTTATACTATACTTTATGTAAAGTCTTTAATGTAAGGGCACAATGTATTTGAACACATGTAGATTTGTGCCTGAAATAATTTTTATTCTCAACTTATAGATTTTTTCACTGGCATCTAAACTTAATTATCTGTAGCCAGTCTTCCAAATTGGGATATTACTGTCACTATAATATATATTAATATTTATATTCTGATTATCTGTAAAAAGAAATGTATTTATTGTAATAACTTTGGTGTCAGTCAGGAACTAGCTTAGCTGCAATGCTTCAACTATTAAAATGTGTCCTTTGTAACCCCATTTGGGTGACAGAATAAGGGAAAAGCCCATAGCATAAACAGATAACATTCTGCAGAGGGAGACAAAAGCCAACAATCCACAGTACCAGAAATCTGGAAATGAATATGCACAGAATGATCTTCAAACTTGACTGATTTTACTTAGCTACACATTCGAATACTAATGCAAGAATTTGCTTTTGCAAGTAAATATTGACATATATCCTGCATTTGAAATACCTCTTTGTTTCATGTCCAGTTCTACAAAGTCGCTATTGATTCAGTAAAGAAGGGGATGATACTGTCCCAACAGGAAAGGAGCAAAAGCAGACAACTGCTGCTAAATATACATACCCTTTTTGATTTGTTCTTAACAGTTAAAAAGAGGGGATTTACACAATATTCAAGCAACCCCCAACTTCCTTACTCCCTCAATAGGTAATAAATATGTGGATAGTAATATGAGCTGAGCTACTTTGGCTTCTGCCATCTCTGTTCGAGAAAACAATCTTTTCATCCAGGGAGGGATGTGTGCTGGGTCTTCTAGAGCAACCAGAAAAACTAGAATAAATCTTATTGTGAGCTAGGCTGTGCAGAGACACAACACTTCTCAGGCTAAGGAATGATACTGTGTAGGAATTTTTTTTTCTGCAAATAGAAAACAAGCAAGTCAAGAAGAAGAATTCAGCCTGGCCTGCTCTCTGAAGTGCTAGTTTTCTGTGTTTGGGAAGTTTTATTCTCATAGAAAGGCTGAAATGCTCCCACCCTCCCCATGCAGACCACAGCTGCATAAAAGATTTAACATGTGATTCTGCTGATTGTTATCAACTTGCTGCAGGTAGGGGATTATGAGCATGATGTATTGCACTATGTATAAGAAGACATGCACATATTTTACATGTAACAAAATGTTATCTACTATGTCCATTGTGTTCCAATTTGAACTGCTGTGATTTGAACTGCTGTGAAAGGCTTCAGTCCTATACAGTTAGCCCGGAGTAGTCCCTGCTGAACTCAACTACTCAGTATAGATATGCATAGGTTTGCCCTGTTAGTCTTTTACCTTTTGTGCAGTACGTTCCATCGTATGCTGTTCTGGAGCAGTCACAGATGAATCCATTGTATTTTTCAACACATGTGCCACCATTCCTGCAGTACATTCCATAGCTAGTGCAATGGCCTGAACACCCAGGTTCCACACCTGGTGTGACTTCTGCTCTCTCTTCTAAATTCAGAGTCAAGCCATTCATTCTTAAAGAGCGAATGCAGCCCAGGTATCCCTTTTGTCCGCCTGCAGCACCTGGACAAGAATATACAATGCTAAATCAATAATGGACAAAATGTTTTTTATTTGTGGGTAGTAAACAGCCCATCTCACATGTTATACAATATAGCCAATGACTGGAAGTGTAAGGGCAAAATGAAGCCCCATCTGTAGGAGCTGTTCCCCAGTTCAGTTACCAACCTGCCAAGGGGGTTATGGAGAGGGAGCTGGGGTTGTTCCAACAAGTAGCTGGCCCACCTCCCTCCACCAAAGCAACCTTCGTAGATATAGCTGCAAAAAGAGGAGAGCATGAAATAGGAAATGCTGTTGAATTCTCAGGCACACAAATGCCAATGGTGAGCTACTCCCATCTCCTTTAACAGTTAAGCATTATGACAAATGGCTCATCACAACTCAATGTCCTCTCAAAATTGCTGCCTAAAATAAGCGCAGTTCCTTCTGCAAATCTATTTCAGTTTACAGGACAGAACTAACAGAGACGTAAACAAAACAGTCTCAGCAGTTCAGTCAAAGGAACAAATGTAGCGGGTTTTGCCTCTAGCTCTGTAGCAGCAGCACATGCTCTGCATGCAGAAAGGGCCAGGCTCAATCTAGTTAATATGTTCTCATGTAGCAGAGCCAGGAAAGCCTTGGACAACTTATACCAACTTTTACGTGGTGGACCAGTGGTCTGCTTGAGTGCAACAAAGCTTCAAAGGATTCCCCACCATGTTTGTCCCTTAGGGACTGTTAGGGCAAGGGGAGTGTGTTCCCACAGCATCAGGGTGAAGTCATTCCCATTGTCTCAGAAAACAGCAAGTGCAAAAATCTAAGTAGATCTTACGAATGCAGATATGGCAACTTCTTTGGATGGAATCAGGGCTGTGTGAAATGATGAAGAAAGGGAGACAGGTAGCTTATTTTTGACATCTTATGCTCATAGAAGTGGAGTAAATGAAATACATTAAAATGATGAATAAAGCCTTCAGGTACCAGAACACCGGTGGAGCTGAAATGGCAGTGCAGCCTCCTCAATTGCACAGTCATTACTCATTAAGCTGATTTGTTCTTCCTTATATTTTTTAAAACCCTTATCAGATACAAATGAGTTTACACAACTTATTTGCTATTAACGCCCCCCCCCCCACCCCACTAAAGGGCTTGCTTTATCCAGATAGACCTTCCTTATTTTAGGAGATCCCCCAAGTTATTTTATTTTAATAAAAGGTGCAAACATTCAAAATGACTAAGGAATGGCTGGGATTTCTAAATGGCTTACCTAGCACTTGCAGAAATCCCTGATTTATGTGTCCATTACATTATTTCCTATCTACCCAAAGCTGGAAATCTAAAATGAGGATTTTCCCCCAGAAGGCAGCATTCTGCTGCCATTTTGTGTTGCTCCTCATTAACACCTTGGCTCAAAAAAGGTTCCACTTTGTTCAGAAGAGGTGGGTAGCATGCAGAGACACTGTTAGCACTGGAACATGGGAGTTTGGTCCCAAACTTGTTTTTAGAGCCTTGGGAGTCCATAGCTGCTGCCAGTGAATTTAGCTTAATTGCTGTTCAGGAGGCAATTTTCAAGGGGGACTATATTTGGAGAAGGAAAGGCTAACTGAGCCCTTCCAAAATCCTGCAACCCCCTCCCCTCAAATAATTTTTCCTTGCATAAAAATTAAACCTAGGGGAAAAACATCCCATTGGCTTGGGATGGCTTGCTGTTGGGATTTGCTATTGGGTAATACAGAAATTTGCAATGTATGGCTGTGAAAGCTGGACCATAAGGAAGGCTGAGTGCAGAAGAATTGAGACCTTTGAATTGTGGTACTGGAGGAAACTCCTGTGAGTCCCCTGGACTGCAAGACGATCAAACTGGTCAGTCCTAGAGGAGATCAACCCTGACTGCTCTTTAGAAGGCCAGATAGTGAAGATGAAACTCAAATACTTTGGCCACCTAATGAGAAGGAAGGACTCCCTTGAGAAGAGCCTAATGCTGGGAACAATAGATGGCAAAAGAAGAAGGGGACGGCAGAGGATGAGGTGGCTAGATGGAGTCACTGAAGCAGCAGGCGTGAGCTTGAGTGGACTCTGGGGGATGGTGGAAGACAGGAAGGCCCGGAAGAATGTTGTCCATGGGGTCGCGATGGGTCGGACATGACTTCGCGACTAACAACAGCAATACAGAAATGCAATACATAAGTAAATGAGTGTTATAAATAAATACTATAGGGAAAGGTGCAACTAAATTATGAATGTATTTGTTTGGGATTGACTGTTTTTGCCCTCTGTAACCTTTAAGCAAATCCTAGAAGTATATTTACATTACATATATTGATAGGAATTAACATGTATATTTCATGCAGATTTCTTCCCTAATGAACTTTTAAAATGCCTATATCCTTGCCCCCCCGCAAAAATCTGGCAAGCTAGGACAAAACATAGCTGAAACCTTCTATTGAAATGGATAAGATGGCACTGTCTCCAGTTTGGTGTGTAATCTCTGAAACCACCAATCAATCTAAACTAATCAAAGTGACTCTTCTCCTTTTAATGGAGTGTAAACAGCCCTCAAATCTCTACCATTGGTCACAGGTTCATGTGATCACCATGGAAAAATGTCAGGTGCCAGTTGCATGCTGTGTGACATGCCAATTACCTTCATGGTGTTCAGTGGGTGTGGATGGCTTCCAAACCCTGTAACAGGCCATGGGTTTTAGGATGGTTTGGACACCACCTGCATTTACATCACCAGTTTGGATGACCAGGCAACCTGTGTGCTATGAGGATAATTAAGCAAACTGCATGGCATACACCTGGCACATGAAGGGGTGAGGAAGAGAAGCAGCCATGCCTTTCTCCTCGGGTTATCTTGCAAATCCAGCCTGTGAGCACTTAAGGCCAAGTCTTGCATTCATGGTTTACAGGGGTGGATGGAGAAAGGAACTTGTTCATAACCCAGGGACTGCCTGTATAGTGGGTGACCTGACTGTGAAAATAGTGTGGTATAGTGCTTCGAATGTTGGACTGGGATTCAGCAGACCTGGGTTATAATGCCTGCTCATCCATGAAGTACACTAGCTGACTTTGTTTCTCAGCCTAATCAGCCTCATAGGGTTGTTACGGGGATAAAATGAAAGAGGATTATTAAAGCTACTTTGAGCTCCTTGCAGGAAAATGGCAGGATATAAATATGATAAATAAATACACAAGTAACTAATCTGTTTTGCATATGCTTGCACTGCTCTTTAAGTAGTTTGGCAGGTACCAGTTGATCCAGTTGGAGGCTCAGCTGATATCTGTGGTATGAAGCACATCACACCTCTAAGGCTGGCATTTCAACTGAAACCTCTCCTAGACCAAGACAATGTGGCCACGAATATCCATGCTCTTGTGACCTCTAAGTTGGACTACTGGAATGAATTGCATGTGGGACTGTCTTTTTGGAAATCCCTGTTAGTGAAAAATGACTAGCAGGTTGTTCATTGAGATTGGTATACAGAACAGATCTTACCAGTTCTTGAACTCCTATACTGTCTGCCAGACCATTTTGGAGCAGATATTGAAGTGTGCCTGAGTAACAGAAGGATGGCTTTCTGGTACATAAGTATGCTCAAATACCATCATAATTAGAAGCCCTTCTCTCAATCCCCCTGCTGTGTCTGAATATGAAGGGGCAACTAAGAGAGAATCTGTTCAGGTGCAATGCCGTCCCTGTGAAATACCCTCCCCAGGGAAACCTTGCTGTCACCAAATTTGATTTCTTGTTGGCCTCAAGTGAACACTTTTTTTATCTGTTTGAGCTTCCCAGCATTTCATCCATCCATCCAATCATTCATTGCATTTATCTGCTTCTGATTAAGAGTATAGTATTTTTTGCTACAGTGTTTTTTATATTGTTTCACTGAACTTTTTAAATGGTATGATTGATTGGCATCTTCTCATTCTGTTGTAGGCTGAACTGAAGCTTCAGAACTGTAGAATGGGTAGAAATATTTCTGAATGAATGAATGAGTGAACAAGAAGAGAATTGCTGGCCCGATAAGTATATCAACAGGACAGACCCTGGGCACATAGACCCTGGCTGTCACCGGCATGCAACTTCTACTTACCGACGTACAGTTGGCTGTATAGCTCAAGTCGAGTGTGACCTTCTGTGGGTGCCTTCCGGGTCTCTTTGGGGAGCTGGTCCACCTGCAGGCTGGCCTCTTTGACATTCCGCTCTGCTAAAACCCGATGCCACTGGTTGTCATTGAGTGCACTGGGTGACCTCACAATGATCTCCACGGGGCCATTGCCAACATCAAATGAAAAGGACACATCTGTTGCAGCTGATGAGAAAAATGACAATCGGTGGAGGGCTTAACACTTTACATGAAAGACCACGAATGCAATCTGTGTTACTTTACAGTCATCTAAAATGTACAGTAAATTCCAGATTGTGATTTGCAATAGGAATTTCATTATCAATTAAAATGCAGAAAATACTTTTAAGATGACAATGAATCCTAATTCTTGATGTTATTTCCAGAACAGAAATCAATGGAATTAGGAAAGAAGTAGTGACTTTATGCTAGAAAGGTAAATATAAGCAAGATTTGTAGAATAAGAATCCAGTATAAGACAAATTTGGGTTGCAAAATTGTCAAGAAAAGAAAGCAGGAATACAGGAAGGAAGGAAGGAAGGAAGGAAGGATGGAAGGAAGGAAGGAAGAGGGAGAGGAACAGTTTGGAGAATCCAAAAAAAAAAAAAAAAAAAAGCTTTCTTTTTCATTTTTTAAATGAACATGCTCCCTTTCCACCCTATCAGATCTCCCAGCCTGGTTCACAAAATGAAATGGCTGCTGCTGGGTGAAAATAGAAGGGGCAGCATCAGAAGAAAATTAGCAGAGCTGAAAGAATGCCTTCCCTTCCTTCATTTCCTCTTTCTCACTCTGCTGCTGCTATGTAACGAAATAAATCAATAAATAAATAAATTAAAGCATTTGAAAATTCTCTCTTGCAAGTTTCAGTTCAGCAGCTGGATGGCAGCCAGTTCAGTTTGCCCATTTAGGTATAATAAATTTCATGCTTATTGGGTTAGCAATAATTAGTGGTTGTGTCTCCAAAGTATTTTACATTTGCAGGAATGCAATTGGTGTCTACTAAGTAAAAATTTCATCTGTTTTTTTAATGAAACAAAAAAGAAGGCAGGAGAATTTTCATTTCTCAGAAGCTAAGCAGTACACGTGAAGAGAATAACCTGGTGGCAACAAAAATAACAGGGTGGGGGGTTAGAAAAGAAGCAGGAGGGCACAGTTGCTCTAGAGGGTCCCACAGGCCAGTCTGTCATGGCAGCAAATGCCATGGCAGGGTTGTGTTGGTGCAGGTGACTGGGCAGAAGCGGTGGGCCCTCCTTGCCTGTGTGCAGGGACAATTTGCCCCTCTTCCCAGTCCACTGCCTGATGCTGGTGCCTCATTCTGCCTCACAGATGTCACAGGATGACATGAGCTACTTCTGTTTTAGGGCTTTTCGACACAAGGCAGATGTGCTTGTTATCTCTCACTCACAGGCCTTTTCGTGACATGGCTGCTGTCATCCTCCAAGGTCTCTCTTGAGTTTTCCAGCCATTTTTAGAGTGAGGAAAATCTGGTATTAAATTTTAAATCATGGCCAGCTGGAAAAAATGCCTTATGAAAAGACAAAAATCTGTTATAGTGCAGGTATACCACATTGTGCTTTGTTGATAGAATATATAGAAATACAGAGAAATACGACCCCTCAGGAAAAAGTCCTATGGAAAGGATGCATTTTTCCTCCACAAAGGAGGCTCCAGACTACATCTCTCATGTAGAGAAGCCCTTCACCTCACTGGCTTGCTTGGGTCATGGATACCTTGTGACTAACCATGCCCAGCATGCCAGCCATTTTAGGAATGGGCAAGTGTGCCCCCATGGCAGCCATTTGTGAGAGCACCATCAGTACCCTCTCTGAATTCCAAATATGCCCACCAACCCAAACAGCTTGGCATAAACTCTGCCCTAAATTTCAACCATGAGCAAGACCAGGAAAGGAAAGGATGGAGGCAGGGCAGAAGGAAAGGTGACTGAACCTGCTGGTACTGGAATATTAACAGAAATGGATGAGCAGCTGACACAGAAACTTTGTTTGGCCTGAGGGAAGGTTTGCTCATCATATACAAATGTCCCATTCATATACAGTATACCATTAGCTTGTAATGTAGGGTTACAACAGAACCCTAATTTGTAATTACTATTTCTCTGAAATAGAAAAGCAGAGAACTGTAGGCCTCCACTTAAACACTCCACTTAAAAGGAATTTATCATTTTAAAGATTCCAAGTGTTCTCCAGATAATGATCTGAGCAGCCCTTACAAGAGTCCTGTGTTACTGTTTGTTGTTATGATTATCATTCCCCTATTACAGACATGTGATTGAGGCAAAGGAAATAGCTTTTTTAAAGCAGAAGGAATTAAGATGTTCCATATGCATGTATGTATGTATGCATGAGTAATGACAAACTACTTGCCAAGTAATTTCAAAGCAATACAACATTCATAGAACTAAACACCAACTATATAGAAAGAAATATGCTGGAAATATCCATAGCATAAACATTACATTTAGTGAAATAAAATAGACACCAAATCCATAACCATACCACAGAGTGGCTATTGCAAACTTGTTTCCTAACTTTTACTTCATAGTATCCTTCTTACCTTCTAAAGCTTTGCACATTGCAACTTCCTTTTACTTACATATGGACTTCCCCCTGTAGTGTTTGCTTTGGCTGATATTTTCAATTTGGGGGTGGTCTCGCAATGGGTAGAATTTGTGCAGAAACACCCTATAGGAAGCACCAACTTTGTCAGGGTGAGCAAAACTTAGAAAAGGTGGAAATCTACTTTAAAATAGAGCCCTACCATTAAACCTCAGCTGGCAGATTTTGGAGCATTAAGTTGTCAATTATTAATCATGTTCAAAGTCAGGAATGGGGAAGAAAATTGCAAATACATCTCTTTTGGGAAGATTAGTGGGTGAATGAAACTAAAGAGTAAGAGTACTGGAAAAGCTTTTACCCAGCATGGCGGAGTAGTATATGTTCAACTAATGAAGACACAAAATGTTATTTTCCAGCTGTGATTCTTGGCCAAACCAGGAACCATTAATTTCTATGCATTAGTAATTTGTAGATGAGGCTGTCCAATGTCATTAATGGACAGCAGTGATAGTTCATTTTCGGTAATGCTGAAATCATTCCTTTCTTTCTATTTTTGAGCCTAGTCCTGATTGTTCCCCATTCAGTTTGGATCCTATGTACTTTGATTTCCTTTTGACATTCCTGTGAGCAACCCCGCTGAGAAGCATGTGCTACAGCTCTCTGCTTGATAATGGAAAATGGCTGGCATACCAAGATGATTCCCTATACGTTCTTTACAAGGAAAAAGAAGGTTACCTTCCCTTGACTATGTGGGGGAATCTAGATGTAAGCATCCCTTGTTCTCCATTTGCCCATTGTAGTAACCCAACCATCTGATTTGTAAAACTTACACCAATTACTTGTGGGCTCAGCCACACAGTTGGTTCAGGACGGGATGGGCTCCATTCTACATCCACATGAATTTGTCATTTTATTTAAGTCATTACAAACCTTAGTTTCCAAATATGTATTTTAACAAAGTTTCTCACAAAATATGCAACTATAAATGTATTTTACACCCAAGAATGGTTTTATAAACATGTTTTACTCTAGAATATACACTTTAATGCATTTTACTTGTTATTTTGAACTCAGACCTGCGTAATGGAATTTGAAGAGTGAAATACAAAGGATAGTTACATTCTGATCTTCAAATTAGACTGAGGGGTGCAGATTGGATATGTCTGAATCAGAATTTTCAAGGACCAGATTCCTCAGGCTTCTCTAACTGTGCTACTCTGCATTTCCTGACATCCCATTCTTAAAAGCAATTGTGGTGGCAGAAATGGGGAAAAAAAAGAAAATACCCTGGAATGCCTACACTGGAAGTTGTGTAATAGTACACTAAACCCATAAAGATGTATGCTCCAATAGAAAATGCTCCAACAGAAATACAGGTAGACTTTGTTTAGGCCATCCAAGGTAGGTCAGGATTTCATGGATCCCGTGACAGCCATGGGACTGACCAGGCATGTCTGGGTTCTGACTGATACAGCTGGCAGTCCTGTTGAATACATAGGAATATACAGGAAACACAAGTGGTTGACACAATTGCTTCTGAGTGCCACCTCTGTGGTAAAGATCATATGTCTCTGTGGTATATACTGCAGCTGAAAGCAATGAAGCAAACAAGAGATGGCTTGAGTGGAGATAAAAGAAAGTTCCTAGAAGATGCAATGGAGCCCTGGCATGTCCTATACTCAATAAACTTGGCAGTAGTGAGAGCGCAAAGAAACAATATCTCATTGTTTCTGTTTAATCTTCTCTTTTCCACCCAACAGAGCATTCTAGGTTCATCCAGGATGAGGCCTGCCTATATGGACACCCATAGATATTGTGGAGCCATCTGGGTCCCACTTCGATATGTATGTATGTATGTATATCTCAAATATAGGTGTTCAAAGATAGGCTGGACATGCCCATGGTGGGCATGTTGTGAGAGGAGCCAGCTGGTGCTGGAGGTCAAATTAGATGGCCTGGGAGACCCCTTCTGACTCGCTCTGTTTCTATGTTTCCAGGATAAAATCTCTTGCATCCAGCAGGACTCAGACTGAAATGTTATTGCAGCGGAATCAGGTGAAATATCTACAGCCCAGCCTGGTCAAGTTCTCTTGGATGATTTCCATTTAGTACAGCCTGAGGATATCGGGAAAGTGCTTGGACAGGTTTGTACAACCACCTCTGTTTTGGATATTTAGCCCTCTTGACTAATAAAAACCAGCAGAGAGGGAACAGTTGGCTGTGCCCGGGAGATGAGAGGGATGGGTCTTTTGCAACAGGACGGCATATAAATATCTTAAATAAATAAATAAATAAATAAATAGGAGGTAGTGAGGCCACTCCTGAGAAAACCCTCTCTGGACTCAGAAGATCTTGATAATTTTAAGTTGGTAGAAAATATTTCCTTCCTGGGCAAGGTTCTTGACTGGATAGCAGCCAAACAGCTCCAGACATTCTTGCATGATACTGATTACCTGGATCCATTTCAATTGGGGTTCAGGTTGGGTTTACCATTTAGGGGGGTTTTTTTGGTTATTTTTTTTGTTATCTGTATTCTGTATTGCAATTTTACTGTATTTAATCTATTGTAGTAAACTTCTCAGAGAACTTTAGCTAGAGATAATTATCAGG